GTATTTCTCCTCCACTCCAAAGGGGCCGTAGCTAAAACTCGATCAACAAGTAATACTGTGATGTAATCTTGTCTTATGCTGCGGCTGCGGTGGTGTGGTGGTAAAAGAACACGGATGGTTCGTTAAGTTCTGCCAGCGATGCCATCTACTGGATTGCGCGCCCATTCACAGGTACATGGTACTCCTACTCCTCTCCTACATTGGCACGTGAAGCCAAGTCAAGCCCCTGCCATAGTGCCACGCAAATGTGCCATGGCCATCGTTCCTATGCTGGCGGTAGGTAGGTAGAGTAGTTCATCTCGTCTCGTGACCCAGTGCCATCCGTATGCACGTACTCGTAGGTACCCGTATTCATTGTGCTCACGTGTACGCCGTGAGCCCCTCAACCAAGATGCATACGGCATGCATGGCCATGCTGCAGGATTAGAAAGAACTTGTGCACTGTGTGTGTGATCGCAGTGACGAGCTAGTGCGTGGCGCTGGCTGGATAGTTGGCATACTTGCTAACCTCGTTCAGTTCCCGCACCTCTTTGATAATTAGGATGGGGAGTAGTTGAGTTATTACTTTTCTTAGTTATGATCAGCAGATTGTTTTAGATGATACCAAGTTTAAATGGTTATTTCTTGAAAAAAAAGTAAAATGAGAAAAGAGTTAAGGATCCAGAATACCTTATATTTAGGTATAAATTTTGAACTATGGATTCCATATATTTCGCGACGGTGGGAGTGTTCTAGTAATTTTGATCAAGTTAACATGTTAACAAAATATTATGTTACCATGCTAAGTAGCTATATAACATGTTAGCTTAATATGAAATGATAGTTTCCCCCCAAATCATATAGTAGCATGCGCATACACAAAATACACACAAGCACTCACCCTATGAACACATGAAACACACTCTAGCAATCTACTCGTATAAGAGTATCTTTGAAAGATTGAGCAGGTAGATCTTAAGATTAAGAAAATCAAGCACTAATGCCAAATCAAGGACTTACATAAGTGGATAAGCTCTACCAAAAAAACCTAACCAACCAAGCTACGCTCAATTTTCTATGTCGCTGCTTTTCATATAAGCTCCATAGCCAAACTACGCCCTTGTTTAGTTGAGGAGAAAGTTGGAATTCGGCTACTGTAGCACTTTCGTTTTTATTTAGTAATTAGTATTCAATCATAGACTAATTAGGCTCAAAACGTTCGTCTCGTAATTTTCCACCAAACTGTGTAATTAGTTTTTTTTCATCTACATTTAATGCTCTATGCATGTATCGCAAGATTCGATGTGATGAATACTGTAGTACTTTTTTGAAACTTTTTTTTTTGCAACTGAACACGGGCTACATCCCAATTTTCTATCCATGGGCCTTGGACAAGACAACCCTCTCTAGCGGCGGCGTCAAGCATGTGCGAAGGTGCGCATGACATCAGGGACCATGGCGCTGCCACCGGAGGCCTGCCGCACATAGAAGTGACCGGCTATCTCCGGCTAGCAGCGTCGCCAGGAATGTTCGCCCCAAGCCATAAAGCATATTAGAGGTAGATTCCATGCTCTTACAAAGTCACGTAGACACTGCACATAGAAATCACATTCCTAATGAATAGTTTCTTCAAAATTAAATTTTATCCAATCAATTGTCTTTTCTATAGTATCATCTACCAATCATATGTCTTTGTATCTTGGTTGTCGTGTAGACATAGTTTTATATACAAGAAACCATTTTCTTCTCTTTCGTCTTTAGCTATAATGTCACATCAATATTTTTCTTAGTTGGCACCGTAGCTCAGGTGGTTGGGTTCCTTGTGGTGGAACCTGTCCACTCGGGTTCAAGTTTCCGACTTCACACGGGTGCTCGTATTTTTCCTGGATTTATTTATTTTCAGGACTTAGCGGTGCTATTCTTTCAATGGTAGGTGACATGCCTGTTGATAACGAGACGCATGTGGTGACTTCGTCAATCTCGAGATTTGTCGGTCCAACTTAGTTCTTCGGAGGTGCTCATAGGGGTAGAGTGTGCGAGCGTGCGTTCATAGAGGTGAGTTGGGGCTCGTGTATGTGAGCGTCTGTGTCTGTAACTGGGTGTCGCAAAAAAATTAATGACCATAGAAACAATCTAGTTTTCGCCTTGAGTGCTTGACAACTCTTTTTTTAAATTACGGAAACTATAATTCCAAATTTCCGGATAAAACCCATGCCTTTTTGCCTCACGATGCACCGGTGCACGGCATACTCCAATTTTTCTAACAGTCGGGGCCCTCCTTCCACACCAAGATATATTATCTCTTTTTTTTTTATTACACAAACCTACTGCGGGCATATATCCCTGTCCGAATCAAAATGGGGACCGCTAGCGTTTGGACGTCTGGACAGATGCCCATGTCTAGATGCCGGTGCCATCACCCCTTTCCCGTGTCTGCACCCCGATGCGCCCACACGGGCCCCGCGCCACCCAGACCGCAGGCGCCACCTACCCGACCTACAATCTCGTACGCTTTCCACGCGCATGCAAGCGAGGACATTATGTGCCCGCTCGGCGGCGCCCCAGCAACTGCAGCAGGTGGTCCCATTACAACATGTGCAACACCAGATCTATTTTTGCAACATCTAGATGAAGCACTTGCAACATACATTCTTTACAGTTAAAACACTTGCAACATACATCTGAAACACTTGCAAAACACCTGAAAACACTTGAAAGCCATTGCAAATGCAGGTAACATCCAGATCTAGTTTTGCAACATATAGATAAAACACTTGCAATATACATATAAAACACTTAAAACATACGCTTGCAACAAGCATGTTATGCAACATCCAGATATACTTCTGCAACATACAGATAAAACACTTGAAACATATGTCTGAAACAACTAAAACACTTAAAACATATACTTGCAACATGCGTATATAGCCATTGCAACATAGACAATATACAAATGAAACACTTGAAAACATATTTCTAAAACAGCTGAAAACACTTGAAAACACGACGTTGTCGAAGGCTACCTAGTGGGGAACTATGGTAGCCAACAAGGGGCGCTCGAGTGCAGTGGAGAGGGAGGATGGCGTCAGGCAAGCACCTGGGCATGGTGAAGAACGTCGTGCGGGAGCGGTCGTCGTGGACCACGCTGCGTCTGCTCGAAGAACTTGGCGGCGAGTGGTGAGTGGCAGTGGGGAGATAGGAAGGTTGGCAACGGCGCTCGAGCGCGGTGCAGCACGTCGCCGCGTTTCGGCCGCCAGTAGCGCGGTCGCGGTAGAGCACACCACGGCGGTGCGGGCAAGATGGCGATTCTAAGAGTGGGTTCGAGAATGGATGCGGGCACAGCGATGATTTGAGAGGAAAGTCCCCATCACGTGGGTGTCGAGGCCTACCAACGCACGTGCGGATGAAACGGACGCGGTACCCACATTATTTCCGAATCAGAATTCAGAAGAGATGATCGTCGACCAAGGAAGGACTAAGGAAGGAGGTTAGCTGGTTTGACAATGGCACCGTAGCATGTGCATCATCTGTACTAATCACGCGTCGCTGTACGACTGTGTACAACTAATCCCCAACCAGGCAGCCACTATTATATCTATATACTATAGTGATGAATTATATTAATTGTGCGCGTACCGCATGGTACATAGTACATGTACATGCATGATGTCCGTCCGATGTCCCTTTTTCCGTAGGACTAGGAGAGCAGAGTAGCTGTTTTCTTGTCACCTCTCGGCTCACGTGAAGAAGCTTTGCTTTTGCATTGCGACTGTAGCAAGAGCATCTCCAGTTCCCCCTGCCTCCGATATCCCGATAAAAATGTCACGTTGCGGACAAATATGTTTTTTTTTCTTGCCTTTAGCAGTTTCCCAATACCTCTCCTGTTTTTTTTTACCACCAATATTTTCCTTATTTCCGCTCAAAGAAAGGGAGAGAGATAACTCTCCCAAAACCATAGGGACCATCCCAACTACCACTTTTGAGCCATATTTTCTCTTATACTTCTATGAGACCCACCTTTTATATGGGTATTGGGGGAGATATCCTACAGCAACTCCCCCAATAAATCTAGAAAGTGATATTGAGTTACCCCAATATCATTTTATTAGAGAAGATTGTATTAAGTAACTGCTGAAAGATGCTCTAACGCGTGAGTCCCCACTGCTTGCTGTAGAGTCCCCAAGTACCTTGCTCCTAATCGTGGGAATTATCTGGTCCATTGGGCTTAGCCACTTTGAAAATATATCACCCACTGTAGTTCTGATAACACTCCACTGATGCTTATACGTAGTTTATACTATCGACATTAACTAATTATAATAGATAACGAGAGCTTCTACTAGTAAATAAGCACCAAAATAAGTTCATCAAGATCCAAACAATTTCAAACTAAGCACCGTAAGATAGAGCATGACTTTATAAAAAAAACTAAAACTAGTTTCTTAATTTTTCTGAGATAAATCAATTTTCTTATTAATTTTCTAAGATTAATCTAGATTTTAGCATTTTCAATTGTGTCATTTTTTCATGTAAAAATATTTGAAATTTTTTAAAACATTTATTTTTATGGATTTTTTTATATTTTGTTTAAAATTATTTCTAGTCCAATTTATCTAACTGAACTTTGAACTTAGTCTTCTGGTACCACCTCAGCAAAACCACTATTAAAACTACTCATTAAAACCACCCAGGTTGTAAAAACAAAAAGTTTAAAGAGATAAAAAAAACTAGTTTTGTAGTTTAGAGAATGGCCGTAATAGTTGAGCGAGTTTTTTGTTTCCAAGGGAAGCTGAGGGATGTAATTCGGTAGCTTTTTTTTTTAGTGGTAATTCGGTAGCTTCTGCCGTGGATCTCCTGACTGACTGACTTGCAAGGCCGAAGCCCACGTAACTACGGCCCAATTTCCCATCCACCGGCCCAGCCCACTGTCACAAAAATTCCCCATCCCTCGGACAAGACAACCCTCTCTAGTGGCGTTGGCGGCGGCGAGCAGGTGCGAGCGCACGGCGTCAGGGACCATGGCGCCGCCGCCGGAGCCCCGCCGCCCGTACAAGCGACCGGCCATCTCCGACCAGCAGCGCCGCCGTGAGCTCGCCCTCCAGGCGCAGTCCTCCCGGCGCGCCGACGCCCAGGCGCGCGCCCGCGCCCTCGCCACTACCCTCCTCACCACCCAGGCCCCTGCCGCAGCCACCAGTCGCCACGAGGAGGACGAGTACGATGAGCATGAGGAGGAGGAGCACGAGCACGAGCTCACCATCGCTGGAGTCGCGGCGGCGGCCGCCGCCTCCAGGCTCCGCGGCCCCGACGCGCGCCGGTGGTTCGCGCGTCAGATCATGCTTCCCGAGTGGATGGTCGACGCCCCGCCCCACCTCGCCACCGACTGGTCCGTTCTCACCTCTCGTTCTTCCTAATCGACCTATCTGCATATGTGAATTTGTTGTTTTCATTCATTCAATCCTGTAGTGTTCGCTTGCTGCTCTATTATCCCCCAAAGGTGCCTCCTTTCCTCACTTGCCCACTAACATTCAATTCAATGCTAGTTCAATTGTGGTCAGCAAACACCCCAGTTCTATCTTCGCATAATGTTGTAGTACTACTGGGTTTTAAAATTACCAGGGTTTATTGACAATAAATATAGGAGTTCAATTCAATGCACCAGGGTTTATTGGCAATATATATAGGAGTTCAATTCAATGCTAGTTCAATTGTGGTCAGCAAACACCCCAGTTCTGTCTTCGCATGATGTCGTAGGTACTACTGCGTTTTAAAATTACCAGGGTTTATTGACAATATAGGAGGATTGACACTGCTGTCCCCCCCCCTCTCTCTACATAGGCATGTTTTTGCCCGACCTTCTGGCAAACGATGTTTGGTTGTGTCATCCAATGGCATGACGATCAGCAGGGTTCGTAACGGGTCCATCCTTCATCGTTTCCCTTCGGCACTACCGAACGGATCAAAGAGAGATATTTCTGGCCCAGCGAGCTCGTACTCCATTCTCGATTGCATTTTTCATGAGGTACCCTAAACAAACAGATTCATTTTCCATTTGCTGCAAGTTTCTTGATTCTAAACTTATTTGTTTCCTTTACTCTGTTTCTAATGTTCGATTGTGTTTGTGGTGCAGCCTGATGAGACATACTATATCATTGATATGATCTGTTGGCGAGGCTATTCGCTCTATGACTGCACTGCTGAGTTCAGGTTTTTCTGGGTCAACTCTAAGATTGCAGAAACTTCTGCTGGTGATCCTCCATCAACATACCATAGATATAGATTCAGTGCACTCCCTGTATACGATTGCACTCTTGAGGGTCTCCAAGCAGCATACTCGGGCAGCATGCCCTATGTCAAAGATGGCTTGCTGTTCTACAACAAGTAAAATCCTTATCGTCTTTCTTTTAATATGTTCTAGCAAATCATGTCCACATATATGTTTGTTAACTTCATTCATCAATTGAGGATTCACAATATTTTTTTCTTATCAGGCATGCACATTATCAAGCTGGGATTACTCCCCTTGCCCTGGTATGGAAAGACGAGACTTGTAGCCAATATGTTATTGATACGGACAAGAAGGGAGAAATACCAAGTGAACAACATGTATGTCTGTGTCCTATTGTTTGAGCTATATTATTGCCAACACATTTGAGTATTTGACCATTCTCTTAACAAAAAGAAAAGAATAAGATACATGAAGTATTGCATGTCCCTTACTACTGTTTTATAATTAATAATTTTATTGCATTTATTTCTTCATGTGCTATCAGCTTGTGTTGGAGCTGCTAGAAGATGGAAGGGTAGTTACTTCTGACGATCCTCCTGTTGCATTTGGCAGCTTGGACAGTGCATTCATACAGAAGGTATTGCTTTGAAATGCATCTTATTCCTATAAATATGAGTAATTATTACATGGACTCATGCACCTTAGTGTTTTCCCATGTTTATAAGGGTGTACATAAACTATCAATAGATTTAGCTCACTTCATGCTCTTATGCAATGTGTGTAGTGATTAATGAATTATTGGTACACTCAGTCTGCACACTAGAAGTTTTAAATTTCTTTGCAATTTGTCTGCCTCCATGATCCATGAACCTGTCTGTTTTCTGTATCTGAGAATGTTTGGATCATTAAACTTAATCTTATATGATATGATTCTACAGTCAAACCTACGACCAGGGAATCTTCTCCGCTTTGCAGTTAGAGATGAAAGTGTGAAACTTGTGGATGGAAAGATGCAGATCGGTCAGCTGCAGTTTGTTGGAAAGCCAAACCGTGCTCGTGCTTTTGCTGACAGCCATTCAAAAGTAAGTTCTGACATGAGAGCGCATTAGTACTCCAAACAATTTCCTATCCATCACATCTACTTATGTTTTCCATTTGTATCTTCAGGTTTTGTTCCAGTATACAGCAAGGCATGTTCCTCTGAGAATTGAGGATCTGGTTGCCTCCATTCAATCAAACAATATGGAGCTTGAATCCACTGATGTTGAAATGCAAGATTAAGGTGAGGGAATACCATCCATGTCTTTTCATGTTTGTGAATTCTTCCGTTGATTGTTTGTTGTCTTCGGCAATTTCTCTTTTCGAGGTTTTCATCCATCTGTGATAGGAATATTTCATAATAGTATACATGTGCCGATATTTCCTGTTTGATTGGATTCAGGAAGGGGACTTTGTTATCAATTGAAACTTTTGCAACGGATGAATGACAATGCAAAGCTAGCATGTAAAGAGATGCAAATGCGACTAAAGGTCTGTCTCGCTCCAGTTTGTGTGTTGTGGAGCTATTCACTCGACGTGGGTCCATTTTCTAGCATTACCCACTACATGAACACATCCTAGAATCACCCAACACATAGATCACTTTACAACACATTTGAGCGCAAGGATTTTGGTGAAATATATATATTTTTTTTATTTCTGGTTGTACCAAGCCACATTCAAGGTCTTGAAAGCATTTTGTCTTGTTCACTGTTTACTTGTATGAATTTTGAAATTTGTTTGTTTCCATCTGTAAATAATGATTTCTGCATGTGACAGGTTGAAGATGCAGGCTTTCATGTCAGGATTTCAGCAAATGTCGTGATTGTCTGAAACCCATGTTTTGAAGGAGTACCTCAAGGCCTGTAAAAGGTTTAGACAACGAATGAGTTTTTGGACAGATGAACATTCTGAGCATTGTCATCCACGTGGATGTGACTGATATATATATATATATATATATATATATATATATATATATATATATATATATATATATATATATATATATATATATATATATATATATATATATATAGTGCAACTCAATGGGTGAAATGGCTGAAAATTGCCGGAAGGAAAAAAATGTTGTATCTACATATTGGATTTCTCCGTATTTGATGATCCTCGTTCCCAACTTATTGTCCTTTTTTATTATTATTTAGCAAATCAATGTAGTAGCTGCGAGCTTCTCTCTTGGATGTTTATTGCAGACACTAAAAGGACGCGTTAGCAGTCGGGCGTATATATAATTTGTATATATTATAGAATCTTTATATGCAACAATGAATCGAAGACGATATTAGCTGATAGGTTTTATGTAAAAAATCCCACAAGTGCTTTCTAAAATGAGCCTACAGGCTTCTCTGCTACCACTAGGATGAAGCTAAATTCAGTCATATAGATAGATATGTATATGTGTCGGCAGCCATTTGTAAATGAAGCCAAGTTCAGCAAGAGTTGGGCTGTCAATGAATGAACCAGTGTAAATTATCGATGATATCTGATAAAATGTGTTCCGGATGAATCATCCATCATACAGTATATAAATCCAGTCAGTCAGTTGCTCCAGCATTCGAAGCAGCATTTGAAGCAGCCATGGGCCAAAATTAGGCCAATTCAAATATTCAAAATACTCACCTCACCGGACAGTGCTGATGGAGGGCCACCACGCAGTCCTACAACCGCATCTTATCTGAACCGTTCTAAGAAGAAGAAGAAGAAGAAAACTCACCTCACCACAGCGCCGCGTGACGGCGCGCCGCCTCGACGACGGCGCTCTTCACCGCGCCTCCCTCTCCACCACGCCTCCCTCTCCATTGCGCCTCCGCTCTACCAGCCGACATCTCCTTCAAGCCGCGAGCACGACAGCCCGTCTTCCTCCCTCTCCACCGCGCCTCCCGCTTGACGCAGGCTTCTTCGACGCACAGACCGGTCGCAGCCTTCTCCACGAGACCTGCCGTGGCCTTCTCCACCGGAGCAGCGAGCTCCGCGCCACCGGTGAGCTCTACACCAGTGAACTCCACGCGCCGACGAGCCTCTATTCCCAAGCAGCAAGGCGATGTTGCGATGAAAGTGCATATTGCAAACATATGTTTCAATTGTTTCAGAGGTATGTTGCAAGTGTTTGATATAGATGTTGCAAAAGTAGATCAAGATGTTGCATATGTTGCTAGTGTTTCATAGGCATGTTGCAAGTGTTTGTTTAAAGTGTTTCATCTGTTTCAAACGTATGTTGCAAGCGTGACATTGCATATGTTTCACACATGTTGCAAGGTTATGTTCCAAATGTTTTAGCTGTTTCATTCTTATGTTGCAGTAAGTATTTTCATGTTGCATGTGTTTTATCTCGATGTTGCATATGTGTTCACAAATATGTTGCAAGTGTATGTTCCAAATGTTTCATCTGCTTCAGACTTATGTTGCATTCAAGTGTTTCATGTTGCGAGTGTTTCGTGTTTCAGAGGTATGTTCAGAGAGTCACGGGGCACAGACTGAGCGCAGGGGGAAGGGGCGCGGCGAGCCGAGGGCCGGCAGATTGGGGCGCACGACGTCCCTAGGGTCTTGAGGACGGGGCGTGCTCGTCCTCATCCAGACTCCCGGGTCCCGCCCGCACGGAGAGAGGAGGGGGTCAGAGGGAAGGAGTGGTGGGCGCAGCCGGGGTGCGCGTGCGGAGCGAGCGAGGCGGACGGGAGCGGGGCGAGGCAGATGGGGGACGGACATGCGCCTGCAGCAGCGATACGGAGCAGCGGTAAGCACGGACAGGCGGGTTGGGCAGCAGCATGCGCGGGCATCCGGACACATTCATCTGTTCCGGACGTCCGGGCACTAGTAAGTCCCTTTTTCCGATCACTTAGAGGGTAACCGGACGTAAAATGAAGTTTGGAGCAAGTTCCCCTTTTTTCTTGCCGATGTTTAATTACTAGCAGTAGCTTGCTGATCCAAGTCACAACAGCCTCGTATGCCTCGCAATGTCATGGCACTCAGGCTCTTAAGAATTCCCCCCTCTAACTTAGAGAAGCAAAGTTTCTTACGTCTATGAATTTTGTTCTGAGTTGATGATGTCCATTTGCCACGCTGTTGCAATTGGTGTGCACATGAACTTATTTGTTTGAATTAGGACCCAGATCGATCACATGTTTAGGGTGCGTTTGGGAGCGCTCCATGGAGTGGATTCTCGAAGAGAATCACCCCTCGGCTGCCAAACGGTTTTTTTTTCAGAGTGAGGTGATTCTCTGCTGATTCTGTGAAGTGATTCTCTGAAATGAACTAAGAGGCTGAGAGCTGAAAAAGTAGCTTCTCCTGATTCTGTGAAGTGATTCTCCATAGTGATTTTAAGAGTTTATGCTAAAGAATCAAAGAGAATCATTTTCAGCCTCAGACTCACTTCACTAGAGAATCAGGAAGCACAGCTGGAGAATCAGGGAGCACAGCTCTGCCAAACGGACCTTAGGGTCCTTTTGATTCTTTCGGAATGGAGCAAGGAATTATTCTAGCTTATCAACATTATACAAATTAGTGAAGCATTCTAACGGAATCGATTCAGGTCTTCATTCCTGATTATGTGAACAAGCCCTTAGATTGATCCTATCCTGAGTTTGTAAAAACCTTGAGACTCATGATGTAAATGAACCTTTCCAGAATTAATAAAAGTGCAAACTCTGTTTAAAAAAAAGTCACAGCAGCGTCGCATGAATCACAATGTCACAGGACTCAGGCTCTTAAGAATTCCTCCCTATGACTCAATTAACGTTCATTCATTTTAGTTACGAGAATGCACGGCCACACAAGGAATGAACAAGAGAGCATATATACACACGGAATTTCAGCTGCAATATATACCGTATACATCTATGCTTGTATCTGTTTTCCAGCAGCACCAGCCTTCTCCAAATCCAATGTTTCATATACATACAAGCCACATTCTGTGTTTTGTCCTAGCCCATGCATATGCGTGAATCGTCATGTATATGTAAGATGTAACCTCCCATGTTATCTAGTTCTGATTTTTTTCCTCCTAAATGCCAAATTACTACTCCATCCAATTCAAAATGTAAGTTATCTAACCATTGACACGATTTTCAACCACTTTCAATTTTTATAAAAGTATATTATTTATATAGAGAAAATTATACATTATGAAAATCCGTTTTATGATGAATTAATTTGACAGAAACATTTCGGTTCCGCTGATATATACCATAGGCCATAATAGAGTCTACAACACATACTATGATTTTTCAAAAAAAAAAAATTATACCATCATCGACTCGGCCCGAGTAAGGGCTTGTTTTGGAACACAAGAAATTTTATGTTCCTATATTTTTTCTGTGAAATTGAATTAGTATCTATAAAATTTTCATATAATTCTTGTGAAATTATCCAAATATGCCCTATAATGTAACAGCAGGCGCCCAGTACCTAGTCACCTAGGTAGCCATGTCACGAGTAGTCAGCTAGTGCCTAATGCAGGCTCGATAGAATGCTTTCGACCTTGTCGTGTATCGAGGTGTACACTGTGGCCTCTTTGGATGAGAGAATTTCTTATTTGACACTGAGAAAATAAGTCGTTTCTTTTTTTGATCCTGAAATTTTATTCGTTCCCTATTTGACACTTAGTTCAACTTTCATCCCTAATTTGACACTACCGTCAAATCCGTTAGCTAATTGTGTTAACCTGACCCATTAAAAGACATTTTCGCCCTAGAAAAAAAAAGTGGGGAAACAAATTTGCGAGAAAAAAAACATGTCTTATTTCGATGCATGATGAATTTTTTGAAAAAAGGCGCAGGTTTTTTCTTCCTCTTTGTTTTTATGTCGCTTTTTTAGTGCAAAACGATTTTAATCTAATTAGGCTTAAAAGATTAAGGCTAACGTGAATTGAAGTGTCAAATTAGGGATGATTAGTTGATTTTGTCAAATATATTTAAGAAAATTTTCAGGCAAAAAAAGGAACGACTCATTTTTCAAATGTCAAATAAGGAATTCTCTCCCTTTGATACCCAATATTGCGGTAATTTTGGTGCGCGAGGCCGTGGGAGTGGCAACCTCCCCTCCATTCAGCGTTGCGTTTGGATATCCATCGCTAAAAAAAGACCGTGCCTTATCGTGAACTTTCTAAACCCGATCCGTGAGGGAATACTAAAATCCGGAAAAAAGTCTACATAACCTCCTACCTATTCATGGTGAATTACTTCACCCAAACTATAAAACTGGATTTTTAACCCCGTGAACTTTCTAAA